ACCGCCAACGACAACAGCAACCACAGCAACCGCCGCCCCACCAACTTCCACATCGGCAACTATCACCACTTCAACGACCGTAACCACAACGACGACGATGCTTGCGATAACGACGAACGACATTGACAAGATCCGCGAACATCCAACGACAACGACAACAACACAACAGCCACTGTTGCACTTCAAGCAGTTACATACAACAAGCCAAGCAAGCTTGTCAGTTGCTGTGCATGGTTTGTGCTTATGCCTTGCTTCTTGAATAAGATGAACCTACAAAGGATGGGACTGCCAGCAGTGCCAGTGCTCATGCACGAACTACGGCAGACACGATGTTGCCTGGACATCATGGACAAGATATGCTGGTTAAGCTTGCTGAAGGCAAGAGCAGCAAGAACAAGGCCCGCAACTTCAACCAGACTGTCAGCAAGCGTGGCTTTGCTCTCCGTGTTGCAATTGCTTATATATCAGTGGTGTGTCCTGCTGGCTTGGGCACGGTGAAACATCCTATTTTGCCGATACAAGATATGGCCAAAGAAATCTTTCGTAGCTACGAGGACAAGCTTTTGGCGGGTCGATCGGTGGAATCAGCACATGGGCTTTTTCTGAGATTCTGGAGGACTTTTCGACAAGTTCAGCCCGAGAGCAAAGTTTTCCAAGTCCATTCCCAGGATAGATTAAGATTTTGTATTCCTTGCAAACTTCATGTAGATGAGGGCACTGGGGTTCGGAAGAGCGCAGTTCTCCAGTGCTCTTGGGGGCCAATCCTCGCATCTGGTGGTGCCAGCTGGCTCAGATACTTCTTTTGGAGTTGCATGGGTCACGAATCTTACCGGCGCCTGAATGTGGGCTTTGAATGCGGCAACAGAGTGGTGGACTCATTGACCCAAGAGTTTGCAAATCAAGCAAAAGCAGCTTTGGAGACTGGTATCGCAACCAAACACGGCACTTTTTATTTGTGCTTTGTGTGTGTTGAAGGTGACCTGCCTGCTCAGGCAAAGGTTTTTCATTGCAAGAGAAATTTTCAGTGCGTTCCGAATCCCATGTGTCCTTGGTGCGGTGCCGACGGGTTTGCAATCCCTTTCACTGATGTTCGTGCTGGAGCATCTTGGAAGGCCACAGTGGGTCGGGACGTCCCGTGGATCAACAGACCGCCACTGGCTGATTTAACTAGCAATGGCGAGGGGAGCTTTTTGGCGAAAGATCTTTTTCATGTTGTTCATTTGGGCATTGGTCGCACGTTCTTATCTTCGGCAATTTGCTTCTTGATAAACATGGGACATTTTGTTCCGACAGACCCACATCTCGGACGAAGCATTCCTGTGCGGATACACGAAGCCTACGATGATTTCAAGCAGTTTACCCACCACATCCTGAAGAAGACGCCGAATGTTAAGCACTGGTCTCGCGAGAATCTCCATTGGACGGGGCCTAGAAGCATGCCTGAAAATAGTTTTAAAGCATCGGACACACCCTTGATGCTAGCATGGCTTTTGGACTACCTGGGGCGACCTTTTCAACCAAACAACTTCATCAGCAACATGCTTGCTTGTGGTCAAGGTGTCTTGTTCTGGACATGCAATGCTTGTTGTGTTGCTTGCGATGTTGCTAAGGGCATGCATGGGTAGATGTTGTCTATGTTCATAGCAACTGAGGCCTCGATGATTTTATGCGGATTTGTGCTAAGGCCGACCGGGTCTTTATGACTCAAAAGGAAGCCCGACTTGCGGTGGGAGCTTTGGATAAGTTTGTGAGCCACTACGTGCGGCTTGCAGCTGATGCCAATAGCGACGGCTTGGTATTCTTCAACCTCACTCCTAAGCTTCATTATGTGGATCATGTCCGCATGGACATCAGGGGCCAACTTCAACACCAACGTATCTTCAATCCGATGGCGTTCTCAACTGCAATGGCCGAGGACTACGTTGGCAGGGCTTCGGTTATTTCGAGGACGCCACATCAGCTGGCCATGCCGCTGCGCACAGCGCAGAAGTGGTTGATTGAGACCAGACTCCGGTGGCGAGGTGAGAGATAAAATCAGCTGATCGGGTGTCCGAATGCATCAGAGCAAACATGTCATAAGCATCCTCTCATGAACATCAACAGCATCACTGCATGAACATCAACAGCACGACCCCATTGTTGATCCAAATTACATGCTAAGCTACTACATTCTTGGTTTTGCCACATGTTCTCAATATTCTTTGTCTTTCGACATCATTCGTTCTCTTTCTTGATATTCTTAGATTTTCTGAATGATATAGCATAGATTCTTGAATCAGGCAAAACCAATTCTTGAAGTCCTCAAACCCTCGAACCAAAAAAAAGTAGTTTCC